TGTTGTACGTCTACTCTCTTATATATTGTTTAATGAAATCAATTCCATTCATGGGAAAATATTGATTATAACATGGTATCAGGCTTTCTCCTCTAGTAACCCTAGCTGATCCTCATAACGTGTTTTTTGCATCATCTCTTCTCATTTGTCCTTCTTTCTCACCATGCCTCCTAAAGAAGACTCCACCAGCTCTATTCCTACTGATAAGATCTACGGCATTACCAACATCAAATCCTATGTTCCTCTCACACTTGACATCGATAGGCTCAATTACGATTCATGGAAGGAATTGTTTAAGACCCACTGCCTTGGTTATAACGTTTTCAACCATCTTGAACCTCCAGAAGATTTAGTTAAAGATTCATCATAGGACACTGTTGACAACGTGGTCAAACAATGGTTATATGCCACTCTCTCTCAACCTGTTCTTCAATCTATCATCAAACCTGGTTCTACAGCTGCTGACATTTGGAGTGCTCTTGAAGATCTGTTCCATGAAAATAAGGAATCTCAAGCCATTGAATTGGAAGATGAATTAAGAAACATGACACTTGGTAACTCTACCATTCTTGAGTATTGTAACAAGATCAAGGCAATCTCCGATCTCCTCTCTAATATCGGTTCCCCTATTTCTCCCAGAAACCTTGTCTCGTATGCTCTCAATGGGTTACCTTGAAAGTATGCTCACATTATTCCTACAATCAGGTATTCTAAGCCCTTCCCCACATTTTTGGAGATGCGTTCCATGTTGGCTCTTGAGGAACGCACTCTATTGAAAGAAGAACAACGAGCTCTTCGGAATTCTCCGGGCGACACCTCCTCTTCTCCCACGGTTCTTACTACTGAGCATCAATCTCGATCCACAAATCCCTCTGCTACCTCTTCTCGCAGCAACATCGGCCGGCAAAATCGCGGTGGTGGCTGGGGAGGACGCGGCGGCAGAGGCGGTCGAAGTCGCTCCTTCAACCCCGATAATGGCGCTGAACGAACCGTGCATCTTTTTTCTCCATTGATCGACACCCACCCCAGCCTCTTCTCCCTTGGAGATCGATCGCAGGTAATCACCCTCTTTTATCAGCCTCTCCAATCGATCTCAGCCCCTCTTTCTCCTTTCAATTGATCGCAATCCCTTCTTCTTTTTCTCAAGTTTCAAGTTCGATTGGAAGGAATACTGAAGAACAGAGCAAATGGTCGGAGATGGTGCAATGCATTGCACCAAGATTTTGTTTGTGCAAGTATAGAGATTCATGGATATTAGTGTTGAGAATAATGTTGATATCGAAAGTGAATGAGAAAAAAAAACAATGCATCAATCAAATGCATAGTTTTTTTTTAAGTTTACTTTAAGGTCTGTTTTGATCAAATTGCAATCTTATTTCTTCATAAAACCAACCCACTAATGGAACCCGGTAGATATAAATACAACCCAACATATAGATACGATCTTATCTTTCAGTTGTTACAACTGAGACTTGGTCTTTCGTCTTCTTCAAGGTACGTTCATGGATTTTTCTTCTTAAATTTTACCATGATCGAACTTTTGTAGTCGTTCTTTTCTTCTATCAGATGGGTTTTGTTGTTTTTTTTAAATGACGAGTCAGGATTCGTCTGTTACCTGTTTGTTCAAGTGCTTAAGAGAAACAATTATGTTCTTTTTTTTTAATCTTTTTCTTGCTGGGTAAACCTTCTTAATTTTTTCTGATCGAAACTTCTGCAACAAGATTGAAGAGTATGTTTTTTTTTCGCTTGAAATGATTAAGTTCAAGATTCGTCTGTTACCAGTTTGTTGAAATGCTTGAGAGAAGAAATTGAAAGTCATCTTCAACCCACTAAAATATATCCTTTTGCCATCCTTCCTCAACTAATTTTTGTATGTGGATGTATAAACATCAGTAAGAACTATAACTAGAGGCAGATAAGGCTTCACAATTGCTGCTCATTTCCGAAGTCGTCAAAATGATCAATTGAGCATTGGAGCATATATTGATGCAATTAACTTCATGAAGGAATATGTAGGTGAGTTCTGCAGATCTGACATCGAGTTCCACACCTGTTTGGAACAGAAAAAGTGTTGGCGAAAATTTCTTGTGAATTGTCTGAAGCCCAAATTCTAGCAGAAGGTCTGATTGAAGAACCTGAACTCGGATAAATCTATCTGAGAAATAAGACCAATAGGAAAGAATTTTTTCCGAGTCTTGGATAAGAATCTCGTTCCTTCAACCGTTCTGCAAAAGTTCATCACCAATGCTGCCAATAGTGATGTTGCTGAGCATGTGAAGAATAAATTCATCAATCATATCAAATGGTATTTGGAAGTCCAAAGTTGGCTTTATAGTGCTTACCTCTTCATATCTGAAGATGTCAACTAAGTTGACTGATTGCTAAGTTCACTTAGGGGGAGATTGTTAATACATGAAAAGTGAACCTCTAGCAATCTGAAGTAATCAAGATCCGAAGTCAACCTGTGTCCGAGATGTGAAGTATTCCAAAGCAAGATGGAATCCGAGATAAGGATATTCATAAGTCAGAAGTATGTACAAGCATTTATTGCTTTTTGTCTTTATATTGATGTAACAGTTTTTAGGACCAAATCGTGTGAATCTTGTAAGTGTCAGATTGTCAAACACTTAGGTTAGAATGTGTCAGCGGTCTGTACCAAGTTCCTCATTTGCTATTTAAGGAGTGAATGTTTCATGAGTTAAACATCAAGAATAGAACTATCGATATTCTCTTCACATCAATCCAATATCTCTTGCAAGTCAAACTTCTTTCATTTACATTCTTCTTGTCTTAAATTGTCTTTGCATTGATTATACTCAATCTTACTTCATTTATTACTTGAATATTTTGTTGATTGTTTATCTTCAAGTCTTGACTGGTTTACCAGACTTGACTGGAACTACTTATTAAGAGCAGACGTTGATCTTAAAGATTAACTCAATGTTTGAGTTTTCAAACCTTGTCCTTGCGCATTGATTTTTTGTTCTCACAGATGCTTAGTGGAATAAAGGATAGACTTGCATTAGTTATTTCAGGACCTTTTTATTTACGTTGTAACGTATGTTCGGATATAAACGAATGACATCCCAAAAGTTTTAATAAAATAACTTTTGTTATTTCAAAAATGTTTATTTCACTGGGAACTTCCGCATTTCAATACTTAAAAGCGTAAATAAATTTTTTAAATTGGTTCTGAAATATGGGGATGTCACAACAACACTCTCTTATATACTTCGAGTCAAGGACTTCGGGTCATGGAGCCGACTCGTGTGCTTCCATTACCTGCACAATAGAAAAAACGAACCGCGGCCTAAAACATATACAAAAAAGACAGAACAGACCCTTATTGGAAAATATTAACAAATCTCATACCTTTATATTTACCAAACCAACCTTATAGAAAACAATATGTTCGAATAACACCAAAACTCACAATGATAAGTTTGACATTTATATATGATAATTCAACACATCGCCGCGTTCTAGGGCAGCTGAGTAGCCGGAGTCCAGGGCATCTAATGACGTCGCAGGTGGCGGGTAATTGGAAGTTATAGAAGATTGGAGATGTCGGAAATAAATAATGGGGATCTTTTTTTTTTAACTTTTCTCTTGAGCTCAAACTTCAAAGTTTTACTGATTTGATATGTAATTTGCGGAAAAATGTAATATCTATGTTTCTAAGATTGGTTTGCTTGATCCCTTATTATAATTAATATAAATATATACATGATAGAAATTTTCTTTTGTTTTAGTCAGATTGAATTTGAGTTTTTTAATGCCCACTAGCTGTTTGTTTTAATGCGTTACTCAAAATCTATATGCACCTTTAATGTGGATTAGGCACAAGCATATGTCCTACTCTTCCATTTTGTTATCTAGAATTGACAATTATGAAATATAGCATCTTCATCACTAATTTTCATTATAATTTGTAATTCAGAAATTGGTCTACTGTATCATTCTTTTTAATTACATATTATGCATATTTGCAGCATGTTCATGTTACTGTGTTGAATCATTTAGGGTTGAAGAATGAATTTATAATTGGAACTTCTATAGGAGAGGAGGTGATTATTGATAGGTATTTCATAATACCTATAAACCATACATAAAAGTAAACTGAATTATTGATTTCGAATCTGAAGAGTAGTAGGAAAGAATATGTATATGTTATAAGTTAAGGGATGTTTAGGTGGTCAATACAGCAATACCATTTGTCAAAATATTGGTAATCACAATCAAATTATTACTATGTACATCTTGTAACTAGGAGATGATTTTTGGGATTCTCTACAACTTGTGGGATTATCAATGGCATATTTGGAAAAAGAAAAGAATGCTTTTTTTTTTTGTTGATTCTTATCAAAAGAATAATGTTTTTTCTTCTTTTACTAATTAATATTTATGTTTGGTATGTTAAATTTTTTAGGAACATAGAGGTTTGAGAAGCTGTTTCACTTTTGATTTTTACAAGAAAACACATGATCATATTGTTCAACAATACCCCTGAACCGCTTATGAAGAAGAGATCATATTTGGGTATGATTCCAGTAAAAGGTCCATTTAAATTCAAAATTTTGATCTGAAAAAAAAAAAGTCTTTTAATTCATTTAATACATATCTGGATATGATTGGAAGAATTATAAGGCTACTTCAAAACATGTAACGTAATTTTAACTATTTGTGATTGTTTAGATATTTTACAAAAGAAAATACTAGAATTTAGAATGACGATTAATGTACCAAAAATTGAAAACAAAGTTATATATGTAACATAAAGAAACTAGAGTAGATTGTGTATAATTAAGTAGGTTGATATTTTGATTAGTGAAACCATAAAAGATCCCTGACAGACAAATCAAGATGCATGTATATAAGTTTGAATGAAAAATATCACTAAATTGTGCATGGTGCCAAAACTCAAAAGTATTGATGAAAAAAAATATACCTCGAAATATGATATATAGCTAGGTTGTCTATATGACTATATATGTTTATATCTACATGATGGAGCATGCATTAGGGTTTTCATCGCTAAATAGATCTTGCGCATAAACAAGTTCCGGAGGAACCTGTGGGTATGCAAACCCATTAGTGTTCTTCTTATTATTATTATTATGATCATTTCCTTTTTCTTTCTTCCCATTCCAATTATGATCATTCTCCCCCTTTTGTTGTTGATCACCTCCTACTCCTCCCTCATTCTTATTCTTGTTTTGGTTGTTCTTTACATTCACTATCTCCGCATGCCTTCCTGCTCGCTTGCTAATGTACGCCACTAGATCATTTGGATCAAAACTACCTTTCACTATTACATGCGAATGGGATGCCTTCATATCAATGTTCACAGTTTGTACTCCTGTTATATATAAATAATAATATAATTAGTTATTATCATGCACCAAAAAATTAACATCCGATCATCAATTAATTTGCCAAACCTTGCATCTTGTGGAGGCAATGCTTAACTTCTTTGGCGCAACCCTCACAGTGTAAGTACATCTTCAACACTTTCTCCACCACCTTCGGTGCCTATAATAGATCATCATCATCATGAATTAAAACAAGATTTAGTACAATGTCATCCATCGAATCGATCTACATTTGAAATTGATTTCATTCGGTACCTCTGGCTTCTTCTCTTGTTGCTTCTTTTCTTGTTGTTTCTTGGGTATAGGAGAAATAAGGTCAACATGCTTTCCAGACTTTTTCCTAAGACGCTCTGCGACTTTGATAGGGTCGGCGTTTTTGCCTTTCACGATCACACGATGATCCTTTGTGTTTGGTTCTATTTCTTCGACGCCTAATTAATCAAATCAAATCATCATTCAATAA